CAGAATGCCCCAGCCAGCCAGCTGGGGCATTCTGGGAGTTGAAGTCCACGCATCTTCAAGTTGCCAAGGGTGAGAAACGCTGAACTAACCCATAGCAGTTTTCTTTAGGGGAAGATTTCCTTAGTTTCCTATATATCTGTATCATTTAATTGAAATCACTTGCCCCCAGGGGTGCCTTATTCTCGTTTGCGATGTATTTTAATGTTTGTATTATTTTAACTTTTTATTTTTTAAATTTTGTTCACCATCCACTTGGTGAGATGGGCAGCCATACAAATTAAATAAATAAATACCCATGACATCTGTGTCATTTCAGAACTTTATGAGGGCATAATGGAAAAAAAAAGCGTCTTAAAAATATTCTTGGCACACCTTTGTGTGATCTGTGATACTAGAAAACAGTAAATCCTAGCACCTGAGGTCCAGCCAAAACAACTTACAAAATAACATCAACGGGGCACCACTCATAACCACTCCATGTCTAAAGCTGTCTGAAAAAGCCATGTTTTGATAGCTTCCCTAAAAATCAACAGGTTGGGGGTAGTGTAATTTTGCAGGGTGTGCTATTTCACAGGGGACTGTGGCTGAGGCTATGGTCCTTGAAGATGAGAGTCCTTAAAAAAAAGAGACCTGGGATAGCCCACTTGGTCTTATTAGATGGGCAGACACCACTGGAAGAAAGTGGTCCCAGAGATCTTCAAGTCCTAAATCTTGAAGGTCTTTAAAGAGGACAATTCATATTTTGAATTGCTACTAGAAGAAAACTGGTGACCAGCACAGTTGCTAAAGTAGAGGAGTTGCATGGAAAAACTGTGAGCATCCATAATTGCATTCTGGACCAGCTGAAACTTCTGGATGGTCTTCAAGGGCAGCTCCATTTAGAGTGCCTTGCAACAGTCCAAGCAAGAGGTGACAAAGGCATGAATGACTGTGAGCATGGCCATGAGCAAATTGAAAATGCAAGGCTCACTCACAAACACTCTCTCTTGTACACCAGAAGTTCAAGTGACGTACAATCAGCATGAGTGAACTCTGTGCTGGGAGCAAGTGAAAACCCATCCAAGTTTGATGGGACATCTTATTTTTCGGAGTTCCTTGTTATAAAGGGATGATTAGAGTATCCATGCCGAAGGTTCATATGGAGGCACGAACAAAATACATATTGAAGTCAATGGCAAAACCACCATACCTTATCCCATTCGTCAGCTTTGCACGTATCACAGAACTGAAGAGCTGGAAGGGACCATTAGACCATGACATCCGATTCCTTGCTCATTTTAGGGAACTAAATTAAAGTATCCTGACAAATGTCTCTCCAGGCTCTGCTTAAATATATTCAATGCATCCCACTTTCTTAGGTAACCGGTTCTACTTTTGAACTACTTAACAACGTTGAATCATTAGGATTTTTTTTCTCTAATATTCAATTTATAATTTTGTTTCATCCAAGCAGTGTTATAGATTAGAGGGAGGGAGGGAGGGAGAAAGGGGGAGTTGTTCCTGGTATGGCCCAGATTTTTTGGAATCACTGCACAGCTGAATCTTCAGAAATACGTTCACTCCATGGTAACGAATACCCATAGTTATTCGCCGCCCAGAGTCATTGGTTTCAGATGGGCAGCTATACAAATCAAATAAATAAATAAATAAATAAGTAAGTAAGTAAGTAAGTAAGTAAGTTCTGTTTGGATGCTCAGCATCGGTGCTTCAGAGTAGGGCTGTGCAAAGCTCTGAAGGGGTGCCTCACTTGGGCAGTGTTTTGAGCAAAGCACCTTTCTAAAGCTGCTTCATAAAGCAACATGGAACTTCACTTTTACAGATCAAAAGGAACTGCCTCATTGCTTCATCTTGTTCCAGTGATCTCCAGGAAGCACCAGGAAAGGTTTCTGTGCATACAATGCTGGATGTGCCAAAGGAGACAACCAAAGCAACATGAAATATATTAATAAGTTAGGCAGTGTTACCTCCACATCTAGGCAAGCTGAATGAGGGCCACCTTGTACTGGCCAGAGAAATAATTGCATGAGATGTAGGAGAGGGAGCAACCCACCAGTCCATAGATTCTCCTTGTGACAGTGAATTCTATACAACCAAAGCCCGATGGGGCTTCCCTCCAAATGCAGAAAGTCACAGTCCCATTCTCCCAATACACATGATTATTATGGCACTATACATTTTTTTAAGAGAGCCAGTTTGGTGTAGTGGTTAAGGCACTGGGCTAGAAACCAGGAGACCGTGAGTTCTAGCCCCGCCTGGGTGACCTTGGGCCACTCACTCTCAGCCCTAGGAAGCAGCAATGGCAAACCACTTCCAAAATCTTGCCAAGAAAACTGCAGGGACTCGTCTAGGCGGTCGCCAGGAGTCAACAAGGACTTGAAGGCACAATAAACAAAGAAACAAACAAATTCAGTACAAATCAGTGCAATAACTTAGTAGAAACTCACTAATTCTTCCTTACAGTTGGTCCAATTGCAGATGTCTGTACGTTTTCCCAAAGTCCCATTTCTTTTGTGAAAGCAGCGGTGGCCCAACCGGCCATAATTATGCCCCCCAACAAAGCACTCCAACACCCCGTTATACGTGAAGAAAGATCACCTGCTGCGCTGTAGGCGCCTTGCCTCATGTTTCTGGCTTGCACATCCGCTGTAGTTTCTACCGATATCTGAACAGGTAAATCTGAAAGGCAGTTGGCAAAAGGGTTGACAATTGAACAGGCAGCCAACTCAGATGGGTCATGCTACATATCTTCGGATTCACCGAAAAGTGTCAACATGGGCAAAAATGTTGGCTCAATGATGCATGTCAGGCAGAGGCATGCTTTGCAAAGAGCAACAGCCAGTTATCACTTTGACCTGCACAAGGTAAGGATCCAGGGAAGAGATTGTTCCTCTTTATCCTTAATGCCACCAAGTGAAGGGGCAGTATGCTGTCATGCCACAGGTTTGAGCTTTTATAAGAGAGAGGACTTAATTTCACAGAGAAATGGGCCATTCTATTTTAAAAGAGGAATCCTGGACTGAGAGAAAGGCTGGGGTCCAGATGGGACTGTAAAATATGTATACAGTCCTCATTTAGTGACTGCCTCATTTAGTGGCCGTTCACAGTAATGACAGTGATGAAAAAGTAACTTTGCAACCAATTCTCACGTTTGCAACCTTTACAGGTCTGTAAAGCAAAAGAAAGCTGAAGGAAGATCATAACCACCATCGTGGTGTCACTTAGCAACCACTTCGCTTAACAACCAAGTGGCTGGTCCCAATTGTGGTCGCTAAATGAGGACTACCTGTAATAACAACATTAAAACAGCTGGTAGTGCAATTTTGGTTCCAGACTGAAGTTCATGTATTTTTGCAGAAGGGTATTTCTTTTCAGGGCAGAGAATATGCCTACAGGTTCAAATTCCATTTCTTCTGTTCAATTATTATGTTCAATAGAACCGTAGGAGGACCTCCTCTCAGAACCCATCACCTTTTTGCTTTGGAGCTCAGCCCTTTACACCCTCATTGCCCTAGGAGGAAGATGGGTTGCGTATCCTGCTCCAGCAGGAAAACGATGTGCTGTGTCGGAAAATGCAATAGCCCTCCTATGTGAACCTTCTGCGTCTCATGCAGGAGGAGCCTGGGGGAGGTTGGTGATCTGCAGGGTCCCAGTTGGCTGCTGCAGAACTGCTCCTCCCACTGGGATACAGGATTCTTGGCTTCCATGGTTTTCTGCTTGGGGGGCCAGAGGTAACAGAACCTTTGGGGTTTTTTTCCTTTGTCAGGGGAATAAGGGCCTCACGGAAGATCTTCCACGTGTGTGCATCCCCCGCCATCATTTGTCCTACCTCTGGATCCCACCATCGCCTCCTCTCCTTGCAACAGTGCTGCCGCCACCCCCGCTTCTCTGAACAGCCACTCTGACCCATGCAGGCAGTGCCTGATCCCAGCCGGCCCAAGTGCCAGCTTCTGCCTGGGCACTGAGCTCTGGGGGTGAGAAAAGAGCAGCGTGGTGCTTGCAGTTGCACCAAGGCAGCCCGGGAAGCAGAGAAGCAGCAGCCCCAGGCAGCTGCAGTTCAGAAGCGTTGCTGCTCTCTTACGTTGCATCTTGCATTCCGGGGAGCAAGTGATGATTCATTTGCATATATGCCAAACGCTCATTGCAGAAGAGAGCAGTCTTATACCGAGATGAATACCCTCTAGAATTTGAGGCAATGTGCTTTGATTACATATGTCTATGTGTAAGCTAGGCAGTTCTAAGACATAATAATAATAATAATAATAATAATAATAATAATAATAATAATAATAATAATAATAAT